TGAGGCGATATTGGGGGCCTCTTGGGCCGTCTTGGAGCGTCGGCAGCCCGAAAGGACGTGAACGTCAAAGTCATTGAAACATCTACAGAGGAATTGATGTTGGCCTCTCTGGGCTCTCTTGGGAAGGCCTCTTCGAGCCCTCTTGGGCCGTCTTTGGACCTTGTTGGGCAGTCCGAATGCCTCGGGTCGTCTGGAGGCGTCTCGGGCCACCTGGAGCCGCCCCGGAGCCTGCAGGGGCCCACCGGGGGCGATGTTAGCCACCTCAGCCGCGTCTGGGTGCCCACGCTGCTGGCACGCGCCGATGCTGACCGGATGGAGAGATGACGTCGGGCTCGAGTTTCACCTCCCACATTTCGCGCAGCAGCGCCAGCGCTGGCTGCCACTGCCCGCTCTTCTCGCACGCACTGATCCCAGCATTGTAGCTGACTAGGGCGAACATGTGGAAAATCCACGGCTGACAGGTCAAGGTGTTGGTCCCGAAGTCGCATGTGCCGCCGACGCCTGCAAGTTTGCTTTGGGGTTTGCTGCAGGCTCCAGGCTCTGGGGCTGGTGGCTGTCTTCGATTGTCTTTTGAAGGGTCTGGGCTTTCTCGGAGTGGTCCCTGCAGGGCTCTTGTGGCATCGAAGGCTTCCTGCAGGCCAGTCTCGCTGTATCCTCTTGCAGGAGGAGATGGAGGAGGAGAGCGGTACTGGAGATGGGGGGAGTGCAGGCTCCCAGAGGAGGAAACCGAGGCAGAGAAGAGATAGGAGAAGGACCCCGTGTCTCCCCTAATCGGAAGGGGGGTCAGAGAGGAAAGTGCAGGCTCGCAGGCGAGGAAGCCAGGGTAGAGAAGAGATAAGCAGGTCCCCCGTGTCACCCCCAATCGCTGAGAGCGGTGCTCAAACGTGCTGGTGTGTGCGGCAGAGGACGAGTGAGTGAGGCGCATGAGAGCGAACAGGAGGCCGAGGAGGAAGACAGTAGCTCTGGAGCGAGGGCTGTGTTCTGATTATGTTGGAGGCCTCCGGAGACAGCCAAGGGTGTGGTTGATGCTGCAGGAGCTCCGAGTTGTCTACATGTCCCCTTTGCCACCCCGAATCGGCTGCTAGGGGACCTGGAGCTTCGAGGAAGGGGAGCCAAGGAGAAGGATCAGGAGGTGGAAGGAGGATAAATGAGAGAAGAGAACCGAACGGGGAGAGGAGGCTCGTTGGGCCTTGTTATGGGTAGAAGGCGCTGTTGGAGGCTGCTGGGGAGGCACAAGGGCGGGAAGCTCTCTCGGGAGCTCCGTCGGAATCACCGCAGTATCTTGGGAGGGTTTGGGGCGCCTCGGAGTGGTCCAGGGCTTCGTTGGGGGTCCGCGGCTTTCTTTGTGGCTTCTCGGGTTCCGAGGACGGCCGAAGGGTGCCGTGGCTGATGGCGCTCTGCTTAGAAGCTCCTTGGCAAGTGTCAGAGTCTATTGGGAGACTCTGAGGCATCGGAGTGGTCCTGGGAAGGAGTGGTCCTGGGAAGATTCTTGGGCCCGTTGGACCATCGTCGGACCATTTTGGAAGCCTCTTGGAGGTCTTTCTGGAGCCTCTGGGGCGTCTCTGGGGGCACTTGGGAGCGCTCTTGGGTCGTCGTGAGGGGCGTACTGGGGCCATCTGGGGGATGTTGATGTTGGGGGTATTGGGACGTCTTGGCGCTATGTCGGATGGTTCGGGCCGTTTGGGCGCCCGCTTTGAGTCCTCTTCGGCAACCCTTGAGGCTTTCTTGGGCCATTTGGGAGATCTCCTGAGCCGTCGCAGGGGTTTCTAAGGCTGTCCTGGGGAGATGTTGGCGATCTCGGGCCGTCTTGGAGTTCCGATCTGGGATTTGTTGGGCGCTCCTGGTCCTCTTGGGGCTGTTCTGTGGACCACGGGGGGCTCTATGAGGCTGTCATGTGCTGCTCTTGGGCAATCTTCAGGCCCTCTGGGGCCGTCTCGGGGTACTTGGCGGGGCTTCCTGGACGGTCTCGGGGCGGCCATGGAGCCGTCTGGAGCCGTTCTTGGGCCGAAATGGAGAGAACATGGAATACGGTCAAAAACTTACAACAAACTCTATGATTCTGGCATCGGGTGACCGTCATCGGGGTCCAATTCGGCCGTTTTGGGAGGCACCCAGCCCGTCGTCGGGCCGTCTTGGGCTGTCATGGGGCTCCGTTCGGGTTCTCTTGGGCGGACCTCGCGCGCTTCGTTGCGTCTCAGAGCCATGCTAGGGCTGTCAGGGCCCGTCTTGGGGCCACCTAGGGGCTGTCCCCGTCGGAGAGCTCAGGGGCAGCTCGCGAACTGTTCGCCCCTTTCGCACGCGCAACGACCAGAATTGTAGTACAGGTGACGCTGGGCTCTAGTTTTGCCTCCACCATCCCCCTGAGAAGCGCCAGCGCTGGCTGCCACTTTTCACTTTTCTCACACGCGCTGACCACTGAGCTGTAGCTGATAACATCGGGCTCCAGATTGGCCTCCCATATCTCGGTGAGCAGAGCAACGGCCCGCTGCCATTCCTTGCTTTTTTCGCACGCACTGATCCCAGCGTTGTAGCTGATGACGTCGGGCTCCAGCTTCGCCTCCCGCATCTCGCTCAGCAGCGCCAGCGCACACTGCCACTGCTCGCCCTTCTCGCACGCGCTGATCCCAGCGCTGTAGCTGATGACGTTGGGCTCCACTTTCGCTTCCCACATCTCACCGAGTACTGACAGCGCGTGTTGCCATTGCCCGCCTTTTCTGCATGCGCTGACAGTCGCGATGTAATGGCTTGGGACGAGTTGGGCACCTGATCGAATTCCTTCGCGAAGCAACCGCAGTGCTGCGCTCCACTGTGTTGTCCGACCGCAATTCTTGATCGACGATTCGATGGAAATGACGCCTTCTCGAGACCCTCGAACGATGTCCATCATCCTAGAATAATCAATACATAAGGACACGGCCCCGCGGCTGGTCGCGTCCAAGAAGGCCTGGAGACACAGAGGAGAAGGTGGAGGAGGAGGAAAAGGAGGAGGAGGAGAAGGAGGAGGAGTGGGCGGGTGAGGGGAAGGAGGAAGAGAAGGAGGAGAAGGAGGAGGAAAAAGAGGCGGAAGAGCCGAATATGGTCTTGAGCCCAATCTGGTCTCGAAACAATGTCTTGCACCAAAATTGGCGTTTGGACTCTCCGCTTGCCGCCCCTCCTGCTGGCTCTCTCTATCCTGCATGCGCCCCCTCTCGCTGCCTCATTCGAGGAGGAGTAGGACGACGACGAGGAGGACGACGACTTCTCCTCCATCTCACCTTTGTTTCTCCTGGCCTCCGGTCTTGGCTGACTGCACTGTACTGTCACTCTGACAAGGGTGTCCGATCAGACACTCCCTCACCGCGTGAAACGGTCATGGCTAGCCTGTTGGCCAGACTCGAACCCGCATGAGTTCTACGACACGTCCTTCCCTGTCGACGTCGACGACGACGCGGCGCCGCTCTCCGAAGGTCCCTGGAGGCTCACAAACCAAAAGATCATCCAAATTGGCGCGCAGCGCCTCTGCGATGCGCGATTGCGCGGTCACCCTCGGGCCCTCGCGACGTCGCCCCAGAGAATGGGGCCCCGGTGAGGTGCCCTGGGGAGCGCCCGAGAGCATCCGACGAACTTCGACCCTCGCACCGAGGGCCTCCTCGGGCCTGGATCGACTCGAACTTCGACCCTCGAACATCGAACCTCGAGTCTGGATAGTGTTCTTTTACTCACTCCCGTAACGTCCGTCAAGGGTGGGGTCGGGGCCCCCGTGGGGTTCGAGCCCCTGGAGGACAACGACGACGATGGCGAGGACGAGGACAAAGACGAAAACCAGGACAAGGGCGGGGACGACGACAAGGATGATGACGACGACGACGACGGAGACGACGATGTCCGCCGCTGAAGATCTCCAGACGCTTCCACAAGCTTCGAACGTCTGTGGAGGCCTCTGGAAACGTCTGAGGCCCGTCGAGGCCCTCGGAAATGAGGATGGCGAGGAGGACGAGGACGAGAACTGGGAATAAGACGACGACGACGAGGAGGAGGAGGAGGAGGACGAGGAGGAGGACGAGGACGAGGACGAGGACGATCGACGACGACGACGACATCGACGACGACGATGACAAGGACGACGTTGACGCGATGACGGCGATAACGACGACGACGAGGGCATAGACGAGGACAAGGACGACGAAGACGACGAGGACGAGAGCGGCCACCTCTGAAGATCTACAAAGGGTTCCACAGGCTCCAGGTAGTCTCTGGAAGCCACTGGAGGCGTTTGGAGACCCTTCGAGGTCCGCGGAGACGACGACGACGACGACGACGACGATGAGTTTGACGACGACGATGACGACAACGACGACGATGGCCGCCACTGCAGGTCTCTGGAAATCTCAAAGAAGCCTTAGGATGTCTCTCGAGGCCTCACGGGGCGCCTGCAAGCCTTTCGAGACCCTCGGAATCGAACTGGGTTTCCGGGCCTCGAGGGAAACCAGTCCTCGACCCCGGGGCCTTCCCCAGGTCGTGTTTTTTTCAACCCGGGGGCTTGTCGAGGGCCCCCGGGAACCCGACTACATATGGATCGTTTCCCTCAGGACCCCTGAGCACCACGGCGACACTCGATCCTGCGTGGCCTTCGGGCCACAGCTCAGGCTCCTGGAGGCCGCTCGGGACGCTCTCGACGAGGCGCAGCTGCTGGACAGCACCCAGAACCCGAGAGACATCCTGACATCTCCGCGTCTCTGCAGCGGGGCTCGTCTCCAGACTGTCATCTCCGAGACTGCCATCCTGACATCTCCAAGAGCGGAACAAAACATTGCATTCGACGTGCGAGGACGCATGAAAGTGATGAACAAACACCCGGGCACGCCCGAAAACGTCAGCAGGCATCATAACACTTTATTGCACCGATCCAACACATCAAGAAACCGGTCGAACACGTCAAGAAACCCGTCGAACACGGCCGAGCACGTCAGGAAACCTGTCGAACACGGCCGAAAACGTCTTCGAACCGATCGAAAGCATGGGGCACAACGGGCGACAACGTCCTCGGTCTTCCTGGTGGCCTCACGAATTCGTGGGGCCAGCGTGGGCCTGGAGGGCCCGCCGGTCGGCCGCCAGCAGGTCCGGCATGCAGGTGCCAGCGTGCAAGTGCCGGCGGAGAGGCAGCCTGCCGGGGTGCCCAGGAGGAGGGGCCTCGATGAGGAGAGGTTGGGGAGGTTCCAACTTCCCGAGCTCCGACGATAAGGGGTTCCATTTTCTCGATGAGAGAGTTTCGGGAAGTGCCAACGTTTCGGGGTGCCCAAGATGAGGGGCCTCGCTTGAGAAGAGGTTCGACGAAGGACAGGAGTTGAATTCTGTCGAGCGGGAGCCCCGATGCAGCGAGGGCACCATCGAAGGCAGGCCGAGATCCTCGGCTGTCGATGGTGGCATGATGAGGGGCCTCGATGAGGTTCCCCAGTCCGTGCTTGCACAGAAGGGGCGGAACATGGAAAGTATGGCGAACGTTTCCCGCCCAATTTACTCGCCAGCTGGGTTCCCGGGTTCCCTGTACCAGATTCCCGGGATCCTGGTTTTTGGTTCCGCTTCGATCGGCAGGTAGCTGTAAGTGCGATAAGACCATTCATCCTAGACGATCTGAGTTTCGGCATTGAAGATACATGTGCTGATCGCATTCGCCATGCGCTCATATGAACCCACTTGTCGTACACATAGGTATATATGGAGATAAGTTACTATGCTAGATACCTGTGTTAAGTCGATATGACACGTTTTGCGTTCATGTTTGGTTTCCTGCCCCCCCCACACAAATATTCGAATGTTGATGGAGCGGCTAGGAATTATTCCGGGCTTGTGTTGAAAGTTGATCACTTTTGCAAAACTTAGGCGTCGCAGGTCCATCCCGCCCGAATTCGCGGCGGCGCTGCGGCCGCGCCCTTATGCCCTCGGGGAGGAAAAAAGGGGAGGGAAGGGGGAGGAGGATAATTACTACCCCTGTGTCTTCTGTCCTTCGCTACTCGCTACTCCTACCCCCTTTTTCCCTTCGGCGGCAAACTGCCTTCCCCTGCCTTCGGCGGCGAACCGCCTGCCCCCTCCTTCGGCGGCGAAGCGCCTCCCCCCCCCCTCCTGGCGGCAAGCCGCCTCCTCCCCCCGCATGGCGGCAAACCGGCTCCCCCTCCCTCCTGGCGGCAAGCCGCTTCCGCATTCTGGCAGCGCGCTGCCCCCGTCGGCGGCAAACCGCCTTCGCCCTCGCCCCACCCCGTCACGGCGGCAAACCGCCTTTTCCATCCTGCGGCAGCGGCCTTCCTCAAACCTCTGCCGCCCGCGATCGTCGCGGGGGTGGTCGCGAAGTGGTCGGGCGAGGGGATGGAATGAGGAATAGGATAAGCAAGGAAGATGGATGGAGATCGGACGAGGAGAGCGGAACGAGGATGAATTTGAGGAAGGAGCGAGAGAGAGAGAGAGAGAGAAAAGAGAGAGAGAGAGAGCGGGAAGAGGAAGAAAGGGGAGGAGGGGGCGCTGGAGGAGGAGGACCAGAAGCGGGCGGCATCGTGGCGAAGCGCCTTGCTGCGTGTCTCCAGGCAGCGAGGTCCCAGCCATGGACGCAGCTCCAGGGCGCCCAGTTCGCAGCGTCAGCTGGCGGCGCGGGGCGGGGGCCGTCTGAGTTGCGAGAAATATTGGATGCCCTGGCGTCGGGCGGGCTCTAGGGCAGGAAACTCCAGAACTACGAAGGGGTTCATTGAATTTCTGACGCCTCATTTGTGGGAATTCGCGCTCTCGCCGCATTCGGGTTTCACTGCCGCGATGGCGGCGTTTCCAGAACACCTCGCGGCGCTTGGCATAAGGCACCCGAGCTGCCCGACGCGTGGCAACATTGGTGAATTCATGTAGCTGGCGTGCAAGAGCGGCCGCGTGGAGGCGGGCGAGGTCGCGAGATAGTTGTTGCAGTGCTACCTGGCCAACATGAAATCTTCGTGGAATTATCTCGCGGCGTCGACGCCGCCGCCTAGAGATCCGATCCAAACGTTGCACGTCACGCCTTGGAGGCTGCGTGCCCAGTGCACCACCGCGTACGTCGAGGCCTTCCCGCCAGGTGTTGGAGCGACGGCGCCGCATAAATTCCGTCGAACCGGTGACAGTTGCAAGGCTGATCCATCTCCGCTCAGGGAGGAAGGGCGGCCAGTTCGCGCTGCCCGCGTATGCGCCAGCCAACGGCGGACTGCAGCCGCGCGGCCAAGGTGGCGGCTCGCCCCGGCAGCCCTTCCCACCGCGGCGGCCGCCTCGTTCGCTTGTCGCTCGCCGACGGCCCCGCTAGGAACTGAACTCCTCACCATCGTGACACTTGGTATGGGGGCGAGGGGCGCGCGCTTGGATCAAGAGGAGGGTGATGGGGTGTGGTGGGGGCAGGGTGTGGGGGTGGCGGTGGCGGTGGCGGGGGTTCTGGATGCTTCTGCGCGCCTCAGTCGGAAAGAGGGGGGGGTCGAGCGGCGGCGACCCGCCTGTTTAAGGCGGGGCTTCCACGCAGCGGCGGCCGCCGGCCCAATCCGTCCAGCCTGGCGCTCGCCGGCTCGCAGGCACGGCAGCCGCAGCAACCGCTGCAGCCGCGACAAGTGCAATCGGGTTCGCACCAGGATCGACCCTCGACGCAGCAGCTGGTGCCCTCTCGCGGGAGCAAGCCCGCCGTCAATTCACCGCAGTAAGACACCGGCGCCGTCCGGGGGGCCTCGATCGGCAGCACTCGCGCAGCTGATGGCGGCCGCAAGCCGAACAAGAAGCAGGGGCGGGTTGACGTCGCCTACAAAGGCCGCGAAGGTCGGCATCGCCGTAGTCCCGAGGAAAAAGACCACCACGGAGGCCGCTCAGGTCCTGCTCGCGGCCGTCGACAAGAGGGCGACGGAGACCAAGGCGAAACAAAAAAAACTGCCGAGAAGAAGGGGGTCGCGGAGGCTCAGGCCGCCAAGGGCACTCCCACGGACAAGAAGGTTGAGGAGACGGTGGCATCCCCACCGCAGAGCGACAAGGCGGGAGCAGCGGGCGTGAGCGCGAAGGACAAGCAAGGCGCGCATGCGTGCCACGGCGGCGCAGCCGGTGGCTAGCGAAGACCAGATCCCGCGTAAGTGGAAGAATCCGACCTGGGATATGCAGACCACGCGCAGCTTGGCGAGCGGGATTAAACCTCCCACCGACGTGGTGTCTGACGCGCACTGCGAATTCCAGCAGGTGCGATCGTTGCCTGGCAATCGCCGCGTGCCAGCCGCCTTTCGGGCGCCGTCCGTCGCTGCTCGGCCCCCCCTCCCCCCTCAGGCGCAGGTCCGCAACGGCAGGGCCGGCGTGAAGGGCAGCGTCGGCCTGAAGTACGACAGAGACGACGAGGCTGAAAGACCCGATTCTCATCGACGACCTCCTCGGCGCTCTCCTCCGCGCTCTCATCGACACCCCCCTTGACGCTCTCCTTCGCCCCTGTCTCGACGCGCCCATGCGGCCCTCTCTGTTTCTCTCTCTCTCTCTCTCTCTTTCTCTCTTTTTTTTTCGCTCGTTGCACCCGCGCGCCCCGAAGTCAGGGTCATGGCGGAGGCGAAGAGTCCGGTCAAGAAAGAGCTCGCCGCCAGGGGGCGCGGCGAGTAACTCGCGCCACGAAGCTTGCGCTCTCCAGGCCGAAAGGGCGGCCCCGTGAGAATCCAGGCCAACGGGACAGCCTCGGGAGAAGAAAAAATCGACTCGCCCGCTGCCAGGGATGTCATGAAATAAGAGGCGCCGTGAATTCTGGGGAAATATCATGGCCCACGCCATGATTTCCTCCCACACCTAGTCATCACCCCCCTCTCTGCCGCCCCCGAGATAGGGAGGGGGGCAGGTTTGCCGCCGAGGAGAGAAGGCGGGTCTACCGCCGAGGAGGGAAGCGGGTTTGCCGCCGAGGAGGGATGGCGGGTTTTCCGCCGAAGGAGAAAGGCGGGCGAGGAGAGGAGGGCAAAGGGGGGGGGCGGTGATGGCCGCCAAATGCGAGGAGAAGGGTGGAAAGGGAGAAAACAGTGGAAGGGGAGGTGGGGGAGGGATGGCGAGGAATGAGCAGCCTGCTTCCCCCCTGCGCAGGCGTCCGCGCTGAGGGCGGCTCCGCGCGCGTGGGCATGCGACGCCTTGTCCTGGAAAGTTTGATTGGTGTTGTTTTGTTGTCGTTGGTTGAGAAATCCACAGAATGCGAAGCACTGCAACACTAAAAAAATAAAGACGCTTCCAAATGTCATTGATTCCAATACCGACAGCGCAAAGCGGCTACACTGAGTTAGCTACTAAGTGAGATACGCTGAGTTGTATGAGTCGCTTAATCATGGAAAGGGTACCATATCACTCGTTTAATCGGATCAGAAATTCTGTGTGTAGGATTATGGTATGTCTTTGAACACACATATCCCACGCAACCTTATGTAGATGAAACCTAAACCTGCTATCTGAATAATGAACCTACATACATCTCCGTTGAAACGACTTCATCTGACATATAACACTCGCATCGCACTTACAATCACCCGACGATCTAAGCGGGCCGATTTCGGTGGGCTATGGGTTCTTGGGTTCCGGGGTCCTGGTCGATCTCCTCATCGATCTCTTTATCGATCCCTTTTCAAACCATCCATTGATTGGCGTTTTTTCTCTGGTGTAATGCGAACTCCCCGATCTCCGACGATATGTGTGTGTGTTGTCTTCAATCTCTGCGTTGTTCCTCGGGCTCGGCCCCTGGCGCCCGACGTCGGGCCCTGGGGCCCTCAACAAACTGGAATCGGGGCGGGGCCTCGGCGCCAGAGGTTGACAATAAATAACACCAGAGAACAACCCCAATCAAACCATGGTTTGAAAACTTTGGCAGGTACCGAAATCGGCCCGGAACCAATAACCAAGAACCCCGGAACCTGGAACAGGGAATCCGGAAACTCAGCCGGCTCAAGGACGCAAACAAAAACGCCTTGCTTGGCCCGCGCGCTTCAGCGTTGCCACCCAGATGCGCGACGGTGCGCCCACTGCGGCGGCAAGAATGCGCCAGGGCGCCCTTCCTGACCCGCATCCTGAGCGACGCCCCTCACATGCAAGATGCGGTTCAGATTGCCACGCGAAAGTGAGGACGACAAAGACGGACCCGGAGATGGCCGAGGGTATCCAGCCCATCCAACATCCGTGGGGCTCGGCCCACAGGGGCGTCGCACCGCGCAACCGAAGGATGCAACCCACCCGCGGACGGTGATCTACGAAGTTCGAGAATGGGATTCGGGGTTAGAGGGGAGAGGTCGGGGAGGACGACGTTCGATGCTCGATGAGGCGGCTCCTGGCTCAAAGGTGGATTTTCGGGGAGGGTGGAATGCGACGTCCGATCCAGGGTCCGGGGTGTGGGCTTTCGAGTAAGATGACATTCGAAGCTTGAACATGTGGTCGGTGGCCGAGGGTGGGTACGTTCGGGGGTAGTGAGTGAAGGTCGACAAGGAACGGTCGGGGTTCGAGGAGGTGGTTTTCTGGATCGGTGATATGCGAGGTTCGAGCGGGAGTTGAAAGTTTCGTCGGCAGGGGGTGATCTGTAAAAATGTGTATGTATGAGGATATACGCGTATACATTTTTAAATAACAAGGAAAATAACAGATATGGCGCCTCGCGAGCAGGCGAGAGGCGGAGGGCCTCAGGGCCGAAAGAGTGCCCCGCGCGCCAAGCGGTTGAACACCGCTCCTGCCTCGGGGCGGGCCGCAATCGAAGGCGGCGGTTCGAGGAGGGGGAGGCTGCAGTTGGAGGCTCGACAAAGACCGCGGGGGGGGGCAAGCCAGGAAGGGTGGGGGGCTCAGAGTGAGGCAAATGCAAGACGAGCAAAACATTTTTCGAATTCTGAGAACCATCTACAGGGGACCGTAAAGACCCTCTCGGCAAAGATGATCACAAGCCCGGTCGGACATGATACTCCCTTGGACGGCGCTCTCGCGACCCCGGCTTGGGCAACTGCGCGCGGCCAATGCCGAGGCGGCCGCTCGTGGGGAAATCAAAAAGTACCGATACCGCTACTCCCCAGACCTCTCCCATGGTGCGCTCTGACTAGAATTTCGGGGCGAATCGATCGCTGGCGACGAGGACTTCCTTGGAGGCCCAACAAGGGGAAAACGGGCGAAGGGTAGAGATATGGGTACTGTTTCCTCCTCTGAGCTCGCAGATCGAGCGCATGCCTGCCGTGGTGGTCGTCGCTCGCAGCCTCGTCCGCTTGCAGGCGGCCGCCCCGCGGAATGCGGCGCGCCTGTCGCCGACGCGGAGGCTCGCAGGCCTGCCGGTGCAGCAACAAGAAGGCCTCGGCTACGGGGTGAGCATCGGGCGGGTGCCTATGGGGGGTGAACCAAATGGCTGGTGAAGAAAAGACCCCAGGAGGGCCATTTTGGGCCCCTTTTGGAGCCAATTGGTGTCCAATAGGGGCCCCAAAGGGCCCCTTCCGGGCCCTTGTCTTCACCCTCTCGTTCGGGTCACCCCCCATTGACTCCCGCCCGAGTGCACCGCGCGAGACTTGGAATCTGGGGTTGGGGCCCAGGGGCCCTGTGCCTGAGACGTCCTGAGGGCATCCGTTGGCACGCCTGAAATGGCGGACAACGTGGTCGCGCTGCAAAACAGCCAGCGATGCCCAGAGTCACCGGCAGCCGCTCTCGGGCAGGCGACGGCTTGCCCCAGAGATACTGCAACGCGAGTGGGGACATGGACACAGGGACAATTCAACAAAAAGACGACACCGTCGTCGAGGTCGTCGTCGTCGTCGTTGACGTTCGTCCCTCCTCGTTCGCCGTTCTTCGAAACCCCTCTGAAGGAACAGAGAGGCACCGATACCACTACTCCGCGGACCTCTCCCGGGGGGCGTTCTGACGAAGACTCTGGGGTGAATCTGGCCGTGGCGACCAAGGCACTCTGGACGAGCAGCGGCATCGGCATCTGCTCCACCTCGGATCCTCGTCGGTTGTTGTTCGTCGCCGTTCGTCGTCGTCCGTCGTTCTGATCCTCGCTCGTCGCTCGTCGTTCTGATCCTCGTCGGTCGTCGTTCGTCGTCGCTCGTCGTTCTGACCCTCGTCGCTCATTGTTTGCCGTGGTCACCCTTCGTCGGTCGGCCGGCCCGTCGTTTGGAGCCGGCGCCTCGGGCCCTTGCGGTAGGGCCTGTACTTGGCCTCGGAGCACCGGCTCGCCCCCTGCGGGGTGCTGCGCCAGGAAAGGCGCGCGGCGGCCGGCGGCGGCGGCGGCGGCGTCGTCGTCGACGTCGTCGTCGAATGCTCCTCCAGAGAATAGGTCCCCAAACAGTGCTGGCGCTCAGGGATTCAGAATCCTGGTCTTAGGAATTGGGCTGGTGTGCCGCCGCTCTGGCGGCTGCTCGTATGTTGTCGCTTCCGCTGCCCGGTCGCCGCCTCGTCGCCGCCCGTCGTCTGGGCCGGTGTGGCGGTCTGGCGGCTATGTTGTCGCCGTCGCCGCCCCGTCGCCGCCTCGTCAGGCCGTCGCTGTTGCAACGAATGGGTTACAGTCTGTATATAAACAGACAGTGAAACACACCATAAATTCCACAACATATATCAGACCACATATTGCATCACATCGATTGTTCAACATTGATGGTACGACATGCATTGCACAACTGTGATATATGTGTATATACGTGTATATTGATATACATCGGCCACATCGGTTGCACCACAAATGTTGCACCACATCGATTGCACCCTTACGTGTGTGTATATACGTGTATATTGATATACACGTTGCAAAACAAATCCGCCACCGTGCCCTCTGGCACGCAGAGGCGTGGTACAATGCCAAGTGCTGTCTGGCAGGGCTTCTGCAATTCCTAGGGGGGGCCCCTCTCCCGGCTGCACTTCCCCGCGCACACCGGCCATACTCCTGGAGGGTCCCTGGGCGGCCATGGCGCCTCCCTGGATCTCTCCAAGATGACAGCCTAAGAGGCCCCAAGATGGTCCAAGAAGGCCCCACGCCGCCGAACGATCGCTCGAAGACGCCCAGGATAGCCTCCAAATGGCGCAAGAGCTTCTGAGGCGCCCCAGGCGGTTCTCATGATGTCTCCAAGGAAAGCCCCCAAAGGCAAACATCATCCGTGCGTTTTCAAATATGGTTGCGTTCTCGCCTTTCCGGTTTTTCGACGCCCCAAGACGGCACAACAATCACCCAAGACCACCCCAAAACGACCCAAGAGGCTTCCAGAAGGGCCCCAACACCACCTATGAGCGCCCCAGGACGGCCCAAAAGGCGCCAAAGACGGCTCACGAGGGCCCCAAGCGGCCCCCAGGAGGCCCCAAAAAGCGCCCAAGAGGCCCCAAGAGGCCCCCAAAGGGCCCCCAAGAAACCCCAAGAGTCCCTGATGAGGCCCCCAAGAGGCGCCAAAACGGTCCCCACGAGGCCTCAAAACTGCCTCCAGGAGGCCCCCGAGAGGCCTCCCACGAGATTTCACCGAACATCCACTAGACACATACTCCACAACCCAGGCACGGTGGCGAGACTTGCCGTCGGCACTTGGATCTTCCTCAATATACATTGCACAGCATGTGTTGTCTCTGTCTCTCTTTCTCTCTCTCTCTCTGTATCTCTCTTATTGTTCTCTATACCTCTCGTTTTCTCTCTCTCTCTCTCTATTTCTCCCTCTCTCTCTCTTTTTATTTTCTGTTCTCTCTATCTATATTTTTGTATGCCTCTCTCTCTCTCTCTTTCTCTCTCCCTCTCTTTGTCACTATCAATATATTTCTCTCTCTCTCTCTCTCTCCCTGTTATATATATACGAAGGTTATATCCCCTCCCCCGGGACTTATCGACCCCCCAGGGACTTATGGGAAAAATGATTCTGACCCAACGACCATCCGACCTGCGTCGTCGCGCGCGCATGCTTCGCTTCCGGAATGATGTCAAAACCGGGCGTCCAAAAAAATGGAATATAGCAAAGAAAACGAGGGCCTCGGAACACGGATTGTTTACAAAAGCGTGTGCGCGCGCTGTTGCGAACTCTTCAGAAAACCGCGACGTGTTCTCGATGTTCACAACATTATACTAGAACGGGCTTCGCGCGCGCATTTCCAAATTGTTCAAACGCCCTTGCGCGCATGCTGGGGCAACACGGTCCGTGTCAACAAATACCATGCGAACCTTTTTGTCAGCGTCTGCCGCGCGCGCCTATCGAATTCCTTCCAAAGCCTTCACCACCGACGCAGAGACGCCGTCATCGTCGTCAGCGTGATAAGCATCGGCGCCGTCACTGGCTGCCCCGTCGTCGCTGTCAGCATCGTCGCCAGCATCGCTGCTATCATCATCGTGTCTACCGTTGTCGACGTTGCCATCATGCCGCGCCCGCCCAAGTCGCCGACTGGCACTGAGGAGCCCGCTGGGATGTGCCGAGCGGTCACCGCCACCGCGTTCGCGTCGGTCGCCCCAAACTAGCTGCCCGCTGCGCACGCGAGCATACGCGGGCTAGCGCGGCCGCTAAGATGCACCAGCCAACACCCACCACTCATCGCAATCGTCCCCGCACGGTTTTGCAAACCAAGTTGCACTTTGGGTGGGTGGGATGATTGCGCGAGCATTCGAACTGACAGCTACAAGTTCGTCAAGTGAGTTGCACCACGTAGATTCTCCTATCTAAAAATACAAAAGACTCTGACCCCCCGGCGTTATCCCCCTTTTTGGGTATGTAAACCATATATGATCATGACGACATGTACATCCTAAATATGAATTTGCACTATCCCAGGGGGGCCGGTATCGCTCCCCCTGAGGTTCCCTTGTAAAAAGCCATACGCGGGGACATGTTTTGCTGCACCGTAAGACTTGTTCACGAATCCCTTGCAACAAATGGGACGAAGTGCACACGCGCGCGTCGTCGCGCGCGCATGCCGAAATCCTTCAAAAACCTTCGCTGTTGGAAAGATGTCGTCATCGAGCTTCCCAAAAACATACAAAAACACAAGGTTCCGCAACACTGATTTGCACAATAAAACTTACGCGCGAGCTCTTGCGACATCCTCAGAAAACCATATGTATCCCCGGTCTGTTTCACAACATGCTACCAGACGGGCTTCGCGCGCGCATGTCGAAATCTGTCGAACGCCCTTGCGCGTGTGCCGTCGCGAGAATCCTCTGCAAAAACATGACGAAGTGCAGACGCGCGCGTCGCCGCGCGCGTATGCCGAAATCCTTCAACACCCATCGGCTTCGGAAGCACTTCAACATCGTGTCCAAAGAACCTAAAAAAACATGGTTTCGCAACACGTATGTTCAACAAAAGCGTGCGCGCGCGCTCTTGCGTCGTCGTCGTCGTCGCCGTCCTCCGTCCTCCCGCGTCGTCGTCGTCGGCGTCGCCTACGTCGACCTCTGTCTTTCCTCGTGTTCGTGGTCGTGGTTTCTTTGGCGTCGTGATCGTTTCCATCGTCGTTGTCGCCGTGGTCGTCCTTCCTCCTCCTCCCTCGTCGTCGTCCGTCGTCGGCGTCTCGTCGTCATCCCTCCAATTTCGTCGCAGTCGTCGTCGTCGTCGTTGTCGTCGTCGTCGTCGTCTTCCCCCTCCCTCGTCGTTGTCGTCGTCGGCGTCGCCGTCCTTCCTCCTTCTTCGTCGTTCGCGTCGTCGCCGTCCTCCCTCCTCCCTCGTCGTTGTCGTCGTTGTCGTCGTTGTCGCCGTCGTCGTCCTCCCTCCTCCCGCGTCGTCGTCTTCGTTGGCGACGTCGTCGCCGTCTTCGTCGTCGTCGTCGGCGTCGGCGTCGTGGTCGTCTTCGTCGTCGTCGACGTCGGCGTCGTCGTCGTCGCCGTCGTCGTCGTCGTCGTCGTCGTCGTCGGCGTCGTTGACGTCGTCGTCGGTGTCGTCGTTGTCGTCGTCGTCGTCGGAGGCGTCATCGTCGTCGTCGTTGTCATCGTCGTCGTCGTCGGCGTCTCGTCGTCATCCCTCCAATTTCGTCGCAGTCGTCGTCCTCGTCGGTGTCGTCGTCGTCGTCGTTGTCGGCGTCGTCGAAGTCGTTGGAGACGTCGTCGGTGTCGTCGTAGTCGTTGTCGGCGGCGTCGTCGTCGTCGCTGTCGTCGTCGGCGTCGCTGTCGTTGCCAAGTGCCAGTTGGTACCCACCGTCATGGTCTTAAGAGATTTTGCAAACCAAGTTGCGGGTGGGTGGGTGGGATGTTTGCGCGAGCAGTGGAGTGGACAACTCACTGCAAGCAGAAATTAAATGCACCACATAAACTGCACAACGTGCATTGCTAACGTATATGGAACCACAAATTGCACCACACAGATTGCATGGCGTACATTGCTACACCCACCTCTATGTATACATATATAAATATGTATGTATATGCATGTGTATATATACATATCTGTATACATGTATGCACATATTGCTCAACAACTATGTGTGTATATATACACGTGTAATAGACAAATCCGCCACCATGCCGCAGGGCACGGAGTGGACGTGTTCTCAGGTCCACTGCCTGACCCCTTGAACCTCAATGCTCGGCCCTCAAGGCTCTTAAGGAGCCTGGACCCCGAAATCACACATCTCTTTGGGCATGGCGCGCGCCCCCCGGGCTCCCCCGCGTGACTGTTTCGGGCCCGGGGAGGATCCAACAAGGGCCACAAGGGCCCCAAGAGGCCTCGAAGACTGTCCAAGAGGACCCCGAGTCGCCGAACGATCGCTCCAAGATGCTCGAGATGGCCCCCAGGCTGCCCAAGAGGCCTCCACAACGCCCCAAGAGCATCCAAGAGGCCTCCCACGAGGGCCCCAGGGGGCCGAGATCATTGATGTTCCTTGGGTGTTTGATGGTTTTTGGCGTTCTCGCCTGTTCGGTCCCCCGACGCTCGCAGACAGCCCTAGAGGCCCCAAAGATCGCCCCAAAAGGCCTCCACGAGAGACACAAACGGCACAAGAGGGCCCCAAAACGGCCCAAGAGGCGCCCAGGACGGCCCAAGAAGCCCCAAATATGCTCTACGAGGGGGCACAGATGGAGGGCCCGAACGGGACATTCGAGCTTTTGGCCCCGAGAGGCTCCCAGGAGGCCCCAAGAGGCCCCCACCCCCAAGAGGCCCCAAGAGGCCCCCAAGAGGCACCCAAAGGCCCCCCAAATGCCCGCCTCCAAGAGGCTACCAGGAGGACCGGCAACTGTCCCTGAGAGGCCCCCGAGAGCGCTCCGAGGAGGCCCCAAGAAGCTTCCCTGCGAACTCGGACCCACCACCCAGGCACGGCGGAGAGATGGCCTTAAGGCCATTAGACATTGCACCACATGGATTACGCCACACCTAATGCACCACATAGTTGACGCCACATGTACCGCATAACAAAGGCGGCACCACATACACTGACTGCACCACACATATGCCACGACTGATACTGCACAGCATCGATCGCATCACCCATCTTGCACCACATGTATAGAAAAACCTGGATTGCATAACATAAGCATATCTATGTGCCGCGAAGGTTGCAACACATGTATTGCGAATGTGTACTTCACGACATATACAGCATCACGTACATGGTACCACATTGGTCGAACCACATGGGTTGCAACACAGAGGTTGCACCAAAAAGACTGCACCACAAATATTCCACAGCATGCATGGCTCAGCGTATATGGCACCAGCTATAGAGCATCACAGTGGTTGCCCCACCTAGATTGCACAACACATACGGCAAGAATCACACGGTGTGGGGTCCACGCTAACTTGCATCATTATTGCTGATCAATGGGAACTGTTCTGGGCGCGCTCGCCCTGTTGCCGCTCACTGCCGAACCGTTGCCGCCTCGTGCGCCCGTTGGGTCTGGCGAGGTTTCGCCGCGTGGCCGCCCGTGCCGCCTCGCTGCCGCCTTGTGCGCTGAGTGGCCCTGGCGAGGTCTCGCAACCTTGCAGACCTTTGCCGCCTCGTTGCCGCCTCGTGCGCTGGGTGGGTCCAACGAAGTTTCGCCACGTTGCGGCCCGTTGCGGCGTCGTTACTGCGTCTCGCTTGAATGATGTGTACTGCATCACGTAGCTCTACCACATAGCTTGTACAACTTACGAAGCCTCAACAGCCACAGTGACAAACCTTCTACTGTTTGGGGTCCGCGCTGGCAAACTTATTGAAGGTCAACTATGACGACAGTGGTTCCGCTCGATAGTTCCTCACGATATACTTCGAGAAATCCTGGCCAGAGGGGCCCCGAAACTGAAAAACGGCGCCCTGGCTCGACTTCCTCGCACTCCAAACAAGCTAGTGGAGGCCAACTACGACGACAGCGACTCCCACTCGATACGTCCTCGCAATGTACTCCGAGACGCCATGGCCAAAGAGTCCCCGCAACTCAGAAATGGCTCTCTCGTCCACATCTTCTCTCGTCCAGGCAAGACGCCTAGTACTTCCACGAGGGGACAAACACATTGACACCTCAAAACGGGTGTGGCACAAAGACTTCGAGGGTGTGTACACGGGAGTGGGATGCAGAATGAGGAGCTTCTCATTTCACGTGCTCGCAAAATAGTCGTCGTCGTTGCCGACGCCGACGACGCCGTCGTCGCGGTCGTCGTCAACGTGGTCAAGGTCGGCGTCGACAAAGTCTTCGTCGACGTTGTCGTCGTCGGCGTCGTCGTCTTCGGAGGGTCTGCGGACGCTGGACGCTGCCCAAGACGGCTGGGGCAAGACCGAAGGGGCCAGTCGGACATCGATGCTCGATACCTTCGATTGCTCATGACGCCCTCGATCCTCGGCGGCAGCAGCGCTGTCCTTCAGGCCATTGGAGCTCGCTTCTCGACTCTCGACCCTCAACAACCTCCATATCCTTGATACCCTCGACATCCCTAGTATCCTCGAGGTCCTCGTCGGTGGCGGCGCTGTCCTCCAGGTCCCCGCAGATCGCTCCTCGAATCTCGATGTCCTCGATATCCTGCATGTCCTCGACATCCCTGGACCGATCAACATCGAATCGGGAATCCCGAGCGAATCGGACCGAGCATCGGATCGGGCTGCATTAACTCGGAATCGGCATCGAATCGGCTGCACCAAGACATACACAACTACGCTGCGCCAAAATCCAACAACCTCGCATCGCCAGGAGACCGAACACAGATCGGATACAGCGTGGTAAGCTGGACGTCGAGTCGGAACGATCGAACCGAAGCGGGCCCTGTATCCTCGAATGTGCAGTCAACCCGTACCCTAAGGATGCACGATAAGGATGCAAGGGCCTTAGAAGGCCATGTTGACACTTTGCGAGCGGGGCGCGGTCAACGAAACCGACCGCGGACGCAGGTATCCTTGGGATGGTTGCCAAGGCTCATTGTGCGGCTTGACTGTACTCACCTGTTGTTGTTGCCCCGTGCCTTTCGGGACGTAGCGCGGCTCTCTGGGGCCGTTCGGGACGACTCGGGCACCCCCAGAACGCCCTCGGCGAGGCGCAGTTTCTGGAGAGCACCCCGAGGCAAGAAAACCGCGGGGAACGGACTAGAATGTCAGAAAACCTCGAGCCTCGAACCTCGAGCCTCGAACCTCGATCGGACCTCGAGCGAACCTCGAGCCTCGATGCAGGGCGGCCGGCGGCGCTGTCCTCCAGGTCCTTCGCGGCCTTGTCCGGCAAGGACAGGCCCAGCTCCGAGAAGAAGGAGTCCAGCACCTCTCGGGTGCTGCTAGAAGCGCCCCTGGCTCAGAGAGCCCCCCAGGATTGCAAAGGAGGCACCCTCGGCCTCCACAGCACCGCTCACGAAGCCCAAGGGGCCCCGAGAGCTCCCAAAGGGAGCGAACGGCTGGGGGCACGTTGGGCCAGGGGCACCTTTAGCAACCCCAATCCCCCTTCTCCTCTGACCCATCGTCACGACGAGGAGGTGGAAGGGTATAAAGAGGAGGAGGAGGAGGAGGAGGAGGAGGAGGAGGAGGAGGAGGACCTCCTCCAGCGGCGGCAGGTCGCCGTCGGCGAGGGCGCCATACGCCTCTCGCGGGCGCGAGATGGCGCGGGCGGCCGCGGCGTTCGGAGGGGGCCCAGTGGAGACAACGGCGGCCCTCCCTGGCGGTCCGCCCTCGGACCTCCGAGAAGCCTCTCATCGCCATGGCTGGATGCACTTTGGAAAACGAGTCAGCGTGGGCCCCAGCACGGGTCCAGGGACTGATTTAAAATGGATTTGGGCCGGGCGCGAGAGCCGCCGTTGTCTCAACTGGCCCTCCTCACAAAATTGGATACCAAACATCCTGTGCTTCGACTCGCTCGGTCGTCTCGGTCCCGTTCCCTGGGGCTGGATCTGTATCCCGAGCGGTTGTTTGGGGGGGCGGCCACGAGGGCCGACGCTGGGGGGCCAGAAATCCTCTGAACACCTTTTCCTCCTTCTCCTCCACCTCCAACTCTAAGTCCTCCTCCTCCTCCTCCTCCACTTCCTCCTCCTGCTCCTGCTCCTGCTCCTCCTCCTCACCATCACCATCACCATCACCATCACCATCACCATCATCATCACCATCATCATCATCATCATCATCATCATCATCACCATCATCATCATCATCATCATCACCATCACCATCACCATCACCATCACCATCACCATCACCATCATCATGCTCATCATGCTCATCATGCTCATCATCAGCATCATTGTCAGTGTCATCATCATCATCATCATCATCATCATCATCATCATCATCATCATCGTAATCAGCATCATCATCATGATCATCACCATTAGCATGATCATCAACACAATCAGCATCATCATCAACACCACCACCCTGTTCAACCATCATCATCATCATCATCATCCACATCAGCACAATCAACAACATCATCATCATCATCATCATCATCATCGCCATCAGCATCATCAGAAGCAGCATCAGTAGCATCACCATCATGGTCCTCATCGTCATTCGTGTCATAATCCTAATCATGAGCACTAACAGCAGCAACATCACCAGCAACATCATCATCGGCATCAGCAGCATCAGCACCAGCATCAACATCATTATTAGCATCACCACAACCATCATCAGCATACTCATCATCATCATCATCATCATTATCATCATCATCATCACCATCATCATCAGCATCGTCATCATCGTCATCGTCATGAGTATGACCATCATCATCACCACAATCATCATCATAACCACCATCATCATCATCATCATCGCCACCATCCTCCTCCTCCACATCATATTTAACATCATCGTCATCATCGCCATCAGCATCATCAGCAGTAGCATCATCATCGTAAGCAGCATCAGCAGCATCATTATCAGCATGAGACTTAGCATCTCCACAACTATCATCAGCAACATCATCAGCAGCAGTATAATCATCATCATCAGCAGTATCATCAACATCATCATCATCATCATCACCATCATCATTATGATCAGCAGTATCACCACAATGATCAGAAACACCATCATTATCAGCATCGTCATCATTAGGATCATCGTGTCAATCAACATCATCATCATCACCAACACCGTCACCATCACCATCATCAATAGCATCAGCATCACCATCATCATCACCAACATCATCATCCTCAACCTCATCCTCATCATCATTCTCGTCATCATCATCAACATCATCATCCGCATCCGCATTCCCATCCTCATCCAGGTCTTCATAATCATCATCACCATCCGCATCCGCATCCTGATCCTCCTCATCCTCCTCCTCATCATCACCATCCGCATCCGCATCATCCACATCCTCATCCTCCTCATCCTCATCATCATCACGATCGTCGTCATCATCATCATCATCATCCCCACCAACATCATCAGCATCATCATCATCGTCATCATCATCGGCATCCGCATCCTAATCCTCCTCCTCCTCCTGATCATCATGATTATGATCATCATTATCATCATCATCAAGATCATTATAAATTATAATCATCACCCGTTTCCTCCTCCCCCCTTCCCCTCCAGGGACGGGGGATGGGGACAAACCAGCCGCCTCGATCTTCTCCCGGCGCCAATGTGCGGGGGGGTGCGAGAAAAGCTGCCTTCGTCCCCGGGTCGTAGGCGCAGAAGGGCAACCGCTTCACGGATGCCGGCCCGAGCCCCCGCCCATGCACGAGTTCGTGGCCTCGGGCGGCTCAGCCGCCCCCCGTGAACCGACCCCCCCGCGCCCAATTCTCGCTGACGACGATGACGAACGAGAAGGGACGAGGATCGGCGTCGAGGACGACGAAGCCGGGGACAACGACGCCGAGGAGGACGATGGCCACGAAAACGCGGCGATGCTCGAAGGGGGGAGGGGGGCAGGAAGAGCAGGACGACGACGGAAAAGAGGAGATGAGGGGCAATGGGGGGGAGCACAGGGGGGAGGTAGAGAGGGGGAAGCAAAATTCAGGCCAGCGCCCACAAGTGACGTCGCAACCAGGAATAAGGAGTGCCAAATGGCGCAGTGCCCCGTCTGGCGGCAGGATGGTGTGGATGGGGAGGCGGAAGAACGCGTGGGAAAATGAGGGAGAAACGCGCGTACACAAAAACAAATACACACAGACACACGCGCACTTTTTGCGTCGGCGGCTGGGCAGGGTAGCTGCGCTGGCGGAGTGCTACCTAATCTTGCCAAGCAAAGCTCCCCCGAGAAGCCGCGACGATTTCAAAGTGGGAAAATGTCCAACATGCTGTTTACCTCAAGCTGGACCGCGGGGAATCATCCTGGAACGCCCGCGCGCCATCGAATGACCGCGCGCCGCCTGCCCTTGCCACTGATTCGCGCCAGGCGCGCCGCGGAGGCGTGACCAACGCGGCCCCCGAGCCAGGCCGCCGCCGCGTGACCGCCATGGAACTCATCGCCGCGATGACGTTTCATTCCGCGGTCGTTGGGCCTAGCGCCCGCGCGAATTTGGACGCGCGCAACCGTCGAAACGTGGGCGGAGAATCGGCGCGCGCGCAGCCGTCGAAACGCCGGGCACTGCCCGGGCTGCGCGGCCGATAACTTGCGCGGAGAAAAACACCCCCAAAGCTGATTGATGATGGAACGCGCCGGCGCGGGACCGACGGACCACAAGAAAGGGCTACTTTGGAGACCCCGCGCGAAGAAGAAACGCTCGAGCGCGAGCGCCGCGGGGAATTGGCGGGGCGCCAGAAACGACTGGATCTTATGCCCGCGGAAGTCGAGCAACTTCCGCTTCTGGGGAGTGGCGCTCGCGGGGCCCACCGCGGGTGAGGGGGCCGCTGGCGCAGACTCTGCCGCACTCGCGGCAAGACCCCAGCGCTCTCTCTTGGGGGCCGCGGCGCACGGATGCGCTGGTGGCGGAGAAGAGGGGCCTGACGGCAAACGTCGGTTTCGAAACCTCAGCGGCCGGCCGAGGACTCGGCGGCGCAATCGCGAATCCGCCGCGCGAGGCCGCGCAGCCCGCCGCGAGGGCATCCTCTCCAACCGAGCGGGGGTCTCCAGGGGAGCCCCTGGCCCCCTCCCCGACCCCCCCGCCGCCTTTATGCGGCGCCCTGCCCCCCCCCCCGTTCGGCCACGATTTAGGGCATTGTCTTGGCCCCGATTATGCAATTGTTGTTGGCCTCCCCTCCGCGGAGGCGCACTTTTTTGACCACAATTTTCTTACAATTAGATCAATAAGGAAAACAATCGCGTTCAAAATCGTGGGTAGTTTCGTGGGGCCTTGCAAGGAGGCGCGGAATCGTGGCCGAAAATCGCGGGCAAAATCGTGTTGCCGGAATCGTGGGCAAAATCGTGTCCGAAATCGCGGGCAAAATCGTGTTGCCGACATCGTGGGCGAAATCGCGGGCGCAGAATCGCGGGCCTGCCCGGTGCGCCAGCATGCCAAGCAGGCGTGCCCGCGCAACATCAGCGACGGAAAGGAACAATGAAAGAGGAGGGAGCGGCAGCAGCAGCAGCAGGAGGGCCAGCAGCAGCAGCAGCGGGAAGAAGAAATAATGGGAAGCAGCAGCACGAGAAGAGGAGAGCCGCCCGCCCGTTCGTCGCGCGCGTTCGTCGCGCGCCCCACAGCGCGCTGGACATGCTTCTCGGGGGAAACTCGCCGGGCCAGAGGCGCGCGGAGATCTCCGGCGACTGCCTCGAAGCAGTTCTACTTCGCGCGCGCTGGGCGGCCCAGAGGGGCCCCAGAGATGGTTTTTCTCTTGGGCAGGCGCCCCAATGCGATCCAAAAAGGCCCCAAGAGGCGCCCGAGACGGTCCAAGAGGGCTCCGAGTCGTCGAACGATCGGTCCCAGACACCCACGATGGCTTCCAGACGGCCCACGACGCGCACAAGACCCCCGAAGAGGCCACCGCGAGCTGAAACGATACCAGAAAACGCGATTCTGAACTGCACAGAAGACTTGTAGCAGAGAGACGAAGCGGAAACTGACGGGGGGCGAAACCGCTCGAATGACGCGTCGAACCGAGATTGCGCGCAATCCGCACGCCGAATGCCCAACATCGGAGCGGGTCGGCGAAGCAACAATTCCTCAACAAAGAAAAACCGAACTACTTGGAAATCCAATATTTTTCGCTTCGGGGAAACACACAATCGTTGCACCAATCCGCTTGGGGGATGCAGCTTCAAGACTAATCGGGGGTATCGTTGAAGCGAATTGTGCCACCACACAGACACACTGTTCGAGATTCGCGCGGATTTCTTGTATCGGCGCTGGAACTCCCTGGAACCACTTCCGGCGCCGTGGCAGGGAAAGGAAACCAGGCCCGATCCGTGAAATCAGCGCGGACCTCCGAAAAATTCTAGGTTTTTCTTATGCTTGTTCGGCCTCAGGGCCGCCGAGCAGCCCTCGCCCCCTCGGAGGACTCCCGCAGCCGCTCGAGGGTGCGCCGAGCAGGGGAGCCAGGGAGAGGGGAGGGGCGCACGAGGCATATGTAAGCGCGGACGATGGGGGGGCTGGGAGACGTGTTGAAGGCAGGGGGCATCGAATCTCGTGGCCACGGCCACGACATCCACACACCCCTGGGCCCCATGTAGTCACCCTCTTGGACGCCCCCGACCCTCTCCTGAGAGGACTCCTCCCGAGGCCAGGCGCTCACCTGGGTCCCTCCCATGGCGAGCCCCCATGTCGCGCCCCAGTTCCGAGCACGGCCGCGGGCTGCTTCGCCTCTTGCTCGGAATCTCCGTGAGAGTTGAAGCTCTTCTTTGAAAAGATAGTGCGGGTTATGTTGGCGGGTGGGTGTGCGGGTTCGTGCAGCAACATAGCACGCGCTAAATGTTGTTGTTATGTTGGACTGTGTAAAACGAGGTTTCATCGAAGCCTCGCAAAGTTCGACCAGGCGCCGTCACTGGGTCAAGCGTGGCCTCGGACCGAGGGGGAGGGGTTCAGCGATCCCCACTCTAGAGTCAGGAAGAAGTTTTGGCAACGGGCTGACTTGAGCTGCTTGAAAGCCGGACTTGCGGATCGTTGGAAGATTCGCCATGGAATTCAATAACGACGCGCGGCTTCGAGTTGAGTGTGCAGTGGGCACCCCTGGGGTTAGGAATCAGTGTTGACAGAGGAACGAGGCCAATTGCTTGTAAGCTGGATTCGCGGCTCGTTCGAGAATGTGCCTTGAGTCGTGAGGCTGGGGGATGGCATGGCCCTGAGCGTCTCAGAATTCAGGGGCGAAGCGCGGCGTAGGAAGGAGTTTGCAGCGGGCCACCGACGGATAGGAATGACTTTGGATGCTGATTCGCGGACTGAGGCTGTTGATTGCGGGCTGGATTCGCGGCCCGTCCTGGATCTTCCCTCGAAAGACTCGCAGAGAAGCTGGGCGGTGGCTTGGCTCTGGGCCCGCTGGAGGCCCGAGTTGTGGCCTGGGACCTGGAACCCAGGGCCTGCCCACGGGACCAATTCCTGATCCTGGAGTCGCTTTCTGACGGCGCTGGGGCCCCAGGAGACCAAAAACGGCGAACAGAACTCCAGCACCTGCTTCCCTCAGGGCCTCTCTGCTCTATTGCAGGCATCGGCCATCAGGCCTCAACTCGGGCCTCTGGCTGCCCGTTCGGCACGGTCCTGGCACCCACAGAAACCTCCACCGACGAGGCACAGCTGCTGGAAACCATCCCGGGGCCGAACATCTCCTGGAACCGGCGACAACCTAGTGCATCTCGCCCCGGGATGTGCGATTACCGATTAACGTCGCGCCCTCGCCCCCTCGCGCCGCCCCCTTGGAGGAAGGCAACCGCTCTGACCCAGACGGGCGACGCGCGAGTATCTTCGCCCCCCCGCGGGTGACCTAGGCCCGCTTGCTTCAAGACCCGTCTACTTAACGGCGGCTTGCTCTCTCGAGGGGCAAGGTTTGGGGGGGGACCAGCTCAGGGAGGGGAACATCGAACATGAATCAGCGGTACACTGCCGATGGATCGGCGACAGGCCCCCGGAGTCTTCGGGCCACAACTCTGCTCTCTGGCGGCCCTTCGGGACGATTCTGGCCCCCCTGGAGCGCTCTCACCGAGCCGCGGCTGATGGAAACCACCCTGGGCCTCGTCGTTCGGTCGTCGTCTTCAACCCCGATCTCTCGACGGCGGCGGCGGCGCCGCCGGCGGCGCCGATCCGCGCGCAAAGGCCCCGCTGGGCGCGCGGCGGACTTGCCGGCCGCCCACGGTCACCGTGCACAGGGGCTGCGGCTGCTGCAGCGGGGAGGTACGCGGCCGCTCGGACAGCAGGCTCCCCGCGCCCTGGGGGCACCATTTGCGTTGCTCGGTGTCTGCCCCGCCGGGGCGTGGGAGCAGGAAGTGCCCGTCGGTCGGCGGAACTGGGCAGAAGCATGAGACATGGAGGGCGTTGGGGGTAGGCTGGGCTTCCGCCGGGCACCCTGAAACAAAAGCATCAGGGGACGGCCGTTCGACTCCTAAAACAGGAGCGCGCCCAAATCTAGCAGTCCCATAAGTGAAGTCTTTACTCGAACGCTGGGCATGGGTGCAATGTCAAGCAAGAGACGCTGTCCGAATTGAGCAAACATAATAAACAAATGAACAAGATGATTTGACAAAGGAAGGAAGGTGAACAGCTCACACATTGAACAAGACAAGCTGTCAATGGACAATATACGTTCCCACTTGGACAGGAGACAGCAACTCCTGTTGAAATGGCGCGCCTCAGACAGCCTCAGGAGAGGCCCAAGACAACTACGAAGAACTCACACAGCGGCCCAACGGCCAGCCTCAATGCGTGGCAGACCCCAGGATGGCTTCGAGCGATTGATGAGCGTTGTGGCGATGAGCGGTGAGAAGCCTGGCGCATGCTAGCGTGGATTATGGATTCGCGGATCTGGCGCGTGGGCGCCAGATCCGCGGACAGGGGAAGGCACGACTAGAAACACGAGACCAATGCCAGCTGATTTGGCAACGGAGCGCGCCGAGTCTGTACGGGAACGGGACCCGTCGCTAATCCACGCGCCTGCCCCATGTAAACGCTCCCTGAAGGATGATGAGAAGGAGGACGACGACGTCGACGACGAGTATAACAACAAGCCCCCCCCAGACAGAGGCCTCCCAGATGGGGTCCAAGATGGAGTCGAAGGATCGCGCCGCATTGCCGATGCATCACCGATGCGTCGGCGACGTGGGCGATGCATCGGCGACGTCGGCGTGGAGAAAATCGGGCTCCGCATAAAGCCGCGTCGCCGATGGATCGGCAGTGCGGCGCAATCCTCCGACCCCATCAATTCGGACCCAATCTGGGAGGCCCACAGTTAACGCGCCCAGTGAAGAACAGGCCTTCATCTAGGGTGCCCCTCTGTCCTTGCCTCTGCGGCCCGTCCTTTGCCGTTTTCTCTGGTCGCCCGCCACCCTAAAAAATCCAAACTTCGGCCTCCCAAGGTCTTGCGTCCTCACCACCCGTCCTGAATACGTGCTTCGACTGTACACTGGAGGAGGAGCAAGACGACTCTTCCCATGGGGCCCCGAGGCCGCGCCGCGCTCCTGTCTCAGGGAGGGCAGGCTGGCAGAGCCCCGCAGCAAGCTCTCCTCCG